AGAGAATATTTCTATAGAGTAGAAAACTTTTTTCCCTTGGGAAAGCCTTGGGATTTTCCCCTTGAGGAACACAGAATACATGTAATTGGCATTCACTTTAAGTGTGTTTACACATGGTCCGCTAGTCTTCATTTCAGAGATTTCAGAGATGCTCATTCCCATGTGAATGCAATTCTCTGCCTTTAAGAGAAAAGCACAGAATAAAAATGTTGAGACTATCTGTGGAAAAAAAAAAGAATAAGAAATGTACTTTGCATTTCAAGAATTTGTAAGAATAAATAGAATAAATGCAAATTTCATACAGTTTGTCTGTTGTGAAAGAAGTTTCCACAACAGTGGACATCAAATGATCCCATATTGTTTTCAGCTAGATAAATTGTTCTCCTCTTAATGATTCAGCTGGAGTTGAGTCAATTGAGCTGCCATACCAAGAAAAGGGCAATAATCCCATCCAAAATTTCATTCTGCTGTAGTGGAATGGACACAGTATTTGTATTTTCAACAAATACTGACCATACAGCTATGTGTCCTATTCAGATGTGTGTGTATATATATGTATATATATATATCCTTTTATGTTGTTAGGTTTTTTGTGTTTGAAATCACCATGCAGTGACACAATAAAAGATTAACATATGAATGGCTTTGGTAAATTACTCTAGTTTTCAGGAAATGCAGTACTATGGCACAGCAACATCACTTAAAAAGAGCTTATTTATAATAAGGCAAATTATACCAACCCCTCCAGCTTCAGGATTGAAATGGAAATTAAAGCAAAGTAAGATGGATTTGCCCTACCTGTATTTTGTCGCTCCTTAGCTTATGACATTGCATTATTATATTTGTTTTCATTGTGATGGCATGTGGAAAACTAGGTGATAAATTGGGGTCCTATTTGTGGTAGGTGCTATATAAACAGGAATGAGTAGAAAGTCTTTGACCTGAAGGGTTTTTAAGAAATCACAACAGACAATCCAGAATCAAAAGGGCAAGGAGATATTGCGGCAATTCTGGTTAGAATCATAGGCTGTTACCTTAGTCCAGTGACTGCCTAAGTGTTGTCTAGTTGCTTCATGTTTTCTTTTTAATTTGTTTTTAAGGCCATCACAACAAATTACTCTAGAAAAGGAAGCAGCAATGTAATGGAAAGAAAGCTTAGCTCTAAGCATGGAGCAGCTTCTTTTGAAGTCAGGTGTATGGGAGAGGAATAGCATTGTGGAAACAGCAGAGACAGGAACAGAGCTTTCCATTCTAGTTTGAAGCTGATAAGTACCTTTACAAAGAGCTTTGAAAACAAAGGTTAGGAGAAATAGATAAAATAGATTGGTGTTTATAAGGTAGCAACATGTTATAATGCTGGAGGAAGAGGATATTGTTTTCATCAATTTTTGGGGGTTGTATAGAACAGAGGAG